GCATACGACTTCTCGAACGTCACCGCCGGTTCCGGTCCGATCCACCTTCTCCACGCTTCGGCGAACAGAGCAAACCGAAGGCAAAGCAAACCGACTTGATTTCTTCCCAAAACGAAAGGGAAGGCAAACGTCACATGGGATCACATGGTTCATCCGATCAAAAGCAACTGTTTGTAGATGAACGTGGTCATCTAAGGGGATAGTCTCCACTAAGTGCCATCCCCAATCAAATCTTGCTCAATCAAGACAACGAAAAGCTCTTGATCTTGACATCTGACTCACATCATCTGACTTGAATGGCATCCAGCACCTCCACGGCTACGAACGGTTTCGAGCCTTGATAATCTCGCAGCCAGCATGGGCCTGTGAAGACCGGTTTCTGGTGTGCAGAATGTGTATCTGCAAAAAGATACAAACCCGACCCTTGGGATACAACGCCCGTCGTCCTGGAAGAAGGTGTTCTACAAAAAGAACCACTTAATAATCTTAATATGTTACCAACTTCAATATCCATCGTTGATATTCCGCAACTGGGTCATCTAAAACAAGGCTGCAAAAGTACAGGTAGAGAGACCGTTCAAAGGCTGAGGAACTCCACCTACGAGTACCTCCTGCTTCGCGGTCGGGCCATTGTCCACCTCTGGAACCACCCCCCCTCTTCCCAGATCCTCTGTCGCATGTGTTGTCTTTCAGTCAAATCTGTTGAGACACTGGTTGACTCACAGAACTTGCCCAATCCCTATGGGCCGTCGATTTCACAGCCCAGCTGGGCCTCCATGGTATCTTCCACCACATAGATGGAGGAATCGTGCGGCGGCACATGGATGTCCCAATACCCCGGCCTCGGAAGACGTCGGGAGGTGTGGCGCGGCAGCCAGAAGTCCATGATACTCAGACTCACATGATTTGACATGAACATGTGCAGGTTAAGCATTGTCCTTTTGAGAAACAGCTTGGATTACCCTCGAAGTTTGGAACTCTCCCATTTGGCCATGCTTCTTGCTCCGACCTCATAACAGTTGAACTGCAAGAATCTCACCACAAAGGAGACAAGGGATCTGAACCGTTTGGTGAAGCTTGTTAAGGTGACATCTCACATGCTCTACTTCCTACTCTCTAGTTCCTCGCGATGATCAACACTCGATTTCAACACTCTTCACCAAGCACGTGCCCTGACCCCCATCCCTACGTGGCATAGACTCCATCCTGCTCCACATCGGCATGGACTAGCCGGACCCGCTGGGGCCGCTCACAAGGTCCACAGCACCTCCTCTGGCTCCCCAGCGCTGCTGTCGTCGCTGGAGGAGCTGCACAACTCGAAGATCTGCACATGGAGAAGCACGGTGTCTATGGTGTGGGCACGGTACGGAAAGAGCCAAGTAAAGGAGAGAAATTCATCAAACCAATTGAGCGGTGTCAAAAACCATCCGGAACTTTTATTGAGGTTTATGACGTTGCTCAATTCAAAACATCCAACGTTTCTTCTTGTAATGGAAATGCTTCAGTTTCATCCTTTGAACCCCTGGCTGAACCACTCCCGCCAGAAGCGGGATGGACCGATCGACACTACGCTCCGTGCACGAGGCCCGTGCACTGGTCCCTCACCAAACCGGAGTGGTGAGAAACCCCAGACCCCAGGTGAGTTTGGTCTGGACAGGTGAGTGGATCTGACAGGCCCCTGACAGGGCGGTGTGGCTTCTGAGTCAGCAGAAGAGAAGCACCGGTCTTCGTTGACCCGATGGGAGGTGACCCAGAACCAAACGTTCTCTGCAAACCGGGACTCCCAACAACATCGTGCTGAATTGATGGCAGTCACATTGCACCATGAACGAACTATATATGATAACTGCTGAAAAGAAGCTCATGACATGCAGCTTTACATCCCTTTCCATCCTGCCTGTCCATCCCTCATCCTTTACTCGTTTCAACATGATGAAAACATGATTCAACAAGAGCTGATCTGATTCCAGTCAACCCCCACCATTGGACGTGCGCGCGCGCGTTGCCGCGAACCCGTTTCGCGCCCGTTTCGCACGTCCAACCCCCCCTTTACCCCACGGAAGAGTGGATCCGCCGAACTGCCGCGCCGAACGACCTGCACGTCGTAGGGCGAGTTGCTTTGGAGGCCCGTGACCTCGGCGGAACTTCCAGCGAAGGCGGGGTGGGGTGAGGGTGAACCCGCGAGCTCACAGCTCACAGAAAAGGAGTGGGGGAGATCGAGGAGCACAGGTGAATCTCCGTTTCGTTGAAGAGAAAGGCTGAGCTTAAGCTGAAGAGTTCCAAACCAAGTGTGACGTTTGGGGTTGAGCTGGCAGGTTGAGGAAGACGAAGCTTCAAAGGACCCCCCCGCTCGGCAGTAACTGTTGTTTGCCCTTTGAAGGAGTTGTAGGGAAGCCACTTTTTAAAGACAATGAACAAGCGAAAAAAAGAAAACAAAAAAGATCTGATACTTGGAGCTTGGAGGCCCAAAATAGATGGTGGAACCCCCCTCTATACAATCGGTGGTTGGCTCAGCTGTGGACAGGACAAGGACCGTGGCCCCCCTCAGCCCCCGCTGTGGCACGCTTTTGCACGCGCCAAGCCCTCGCGCGTTCCGCGCGGCCCGAGAACCTGATGGAGCGAATGGGTGGGCAGGGGCTTTCGGAAGCAAAAGAGTAAGAACTGAACACCAAGCGGTTCCTCTTTTGACCGAACTCGAGCTTTCTATCGGACCATTTTATACCTATATATATATAGTTCTATATATTTAGCACTTCTTGTTTCAAGGGGCCCGTCGGCCCGTGGAAATGGAAACCTCATGGAGGCCAGGGGCCCGTCCAGGTAGGTGACCATTTCGGAAGCAGCCTCAGGTGACCAGTATTTCTCTGCACCAGGATGTGGACACCACAGGCAGATAGGGCGGCCAGACCTGGACCATCCTGGGCGGTGTCCTGTCTGATCCTTAAGTAGTGAAGGGTATATGGATACTTTGGCTCTCCTCTTGGCGAGAAGACCTGGAAGACCTGGTGTGCACTCTTGTGGTAGATTTCCCCACAGTCTTCTACAAGATCATTGCCCCTAAACCTCCAGTCGTACCTCCTCAGGTTCGGTGTTTGGACCATCCTGGCACCCACCCCAGTCCCACCTTCTCAGAAGGTACGACTGGAGCCCTAGGGTTAGATTTTATAAGGAATCAACAAACGCAGTCACCGATCCGATGCTCATCTCATCAGCACTAAGTCTTTTGAAATGTCATCGAATCTCATCAACCAGACCAGCTGCTCTGCCTTCGTGGCGAGACGACGCATCTCAAACAGCCGGCCGCTGGTTGCCGCTAGCCGCTGGCCAAGCTGCGTGGCCGCTCTGCGTGACCTCACCAAAGACCAGAGAAGCAGGATCATCTGTAAAACCCAAAGTGGCCAGAAGACAATCAGCTGGAAGCTGATTGTAAAACGAATACAGGTTGGAAACCACCTACCCAGTACTCTAGTCTAGTGGCCCACACCCACCCACCCCAATGTTCAGGACACGACATCGCCATCACCCTCTGCCTCCCACCGACTTCGAGGAGCTCCCGATCTTGACGGCTGCGGGAGTCGATTTTCCACGACCTCGGTGGTCGGAGTTCCCGCTGCCGTCGTGCGACAGTCGTCCTTTGGCACCACCCCCAGTGAAGAAGATACCCTACGACGGGGTCACAGTCGACGGGGTGGTGTCGTTCGTCCCATCTGAGTGGATCCGGACCCCGATCTTCCAAACCGTTCGTTCAACAAGTACCCTTGTGACTGGGAGACAGCTGTCGTCTTGGACTTCCAGCGAATCAGTGCATGAAAACCCCGCAGTTGATGACCCTAATTACAAGTAACGATTCCATATTAAGGATGGTCTGGGTGCATGATCTGATCCTCACAGGGTTGTTACGTCGGCGACCATCATCCAGTACCAAGCGTCTTGGCCATTTGGCCACGCATGGAAAAGCCTCGTCAAGGAAATCAAAGTGTTAAACCGTTGATCACATCACCCACCCAACGATATCCAGTTCGACCAGCCACATAGTAGTGCAGCAAAGGGAGTTGTAGAAAAATGTCCTTCACCTTCCCTCCACAAACACCAAACAATCCTCTGTTCTCTCATGTTCTCCGAGCGTCCTGTCCATGAAAACGGCCACACCATGCAGGGAACCCTACGACAAGTCCAGTCTGACCCTGTAAAACCTGGTCTGTTTCATCCCGAAGTAGTGGTGCTTTTCCATGACGACGTCCAGTACTTCATGAGGTCCGTCAAACTGATCTGTAGTGACTATCACGCAATGCTCCTGTCGCACGGCGACAGGAGTCTGGACGAGGAGAGTGAAAACCCGATCTTGACGGCAGGCCACACGGAGACCGATCTGCAAAATGGTAAGAACTGGAGAATACATCCCTTTTGATGCGCATGCAGTGTTTGCCATTCAATGTCTCAAAGCCTGTATGTGTCAATTCCTTTTTTCGGAGACCGCCACATCAACAACATCACTCACCTCCAGCCGAGTGCTCCTCATCCAAAGCTGGGATCGCAGCTGCCAATCCTGGGGTCCGGGGCTTCCTGGGAGTTGTTACTTCACTCACCGTGGTCTTTTTTGGAGTGTGGCATCAGCTGGGAATCACACTGCGCAGCAAACCGGCGAGGTTGGTGGCTTTCTGTGCCAGTGAAAGGTGAAAAGTCCAACCACGAGGCGCAAGCCGAGACAACGCTCCCATGTGGGAGTCAAGCCTTACAAGCCAAAAGGAGTCGCTCTGACGTGTCTGTCCTTCGCTCTGCGTTTGGCCTCCTTTTTCGCCTGTGGCGCCACAGGTGCTTGCGCAAGTGACTCGGTGAAAATGCCATTGAAAATACGAGGGAAAAAACAAATGATCTTATATGATCATGCGCAAGATAAAATATGATCCTGATCATGCTCCCCGGCTTGACCGGAAAGGTCACGTTCGATGAAAGGGTACCTCTCCCAGGGCATGATCGCGAATTCGTGGTGTAGCTTGGTCTCACGAGAAGACTTCGTCTCGTGGAGTGGCAGCATTCTGGCTGAGGCCTGTCCGCGTGTCTGTCCGCGTGTCTGAAAAACAAGGCCTCGTCTTCCCTCCGAACCACAAAAAGAACAACACGCAAAAGAAAAGATGTTCCGAAACTTTCGCAGCTCAGTTGCTGGGTTGCTTGCTGCTTGCAAAGCTGCTAAATGCCACAAGGAACCCTCCAAGAAACCTCGGGTGATGAACTGGAGAAATGCATGGAGCCTGCCCAAAACGAGAGCAACCCACAGGACCAAGGGGCCGCTAAGGAAGAACTTGTCCTGCCATGTTGGCTTTTGTTTAAAGAATGCATTCAATAAGTTGCGCGAAGAGACGGCTGACACAGGCATAAACTGGTTCTCAATGCTTGGAGCACGTTTCGACTGGAGACAAAGGAAGCATAGCAGACCATGCTCATTTGCAAACCGGCCATCAAGGTCTTGGATGATCACAGAGTCAGGAAACAAACCCTAAAGTAGAAGTCAAGCCCTAAAGGAAGCCCACCGAAACACTAGAAGTGCAGCCTGAAAGCAAGCCCACAGCAACCCTGAAACCCTATAGGCTTATAGGCGTGAAACGCTAAACCCAGCCCAAAGAAACTAAGAAACCCTGGAGCATGATTCCCTTTTTTCAAATCCAAACAACTCCTAAAGAAGCGCAGCCTCAAACCACGCCCCCAAAAGCCTGAAGAAGTGAAGCCCTAAGGTTTCCAGGTTCTCTGACTCTGACAAAAAGGTTTCATGACTCTAGTGCAGGTTTCCTGACTCCGTCTTCTCCCTCAAGGTCTTACTGCATTGCAAGCAACTCCGAAGGTAAGACTTGCTCGTGCAACCATGCAGATGATAGAGCAATCACAACGAACAAATTCAAGTTCCCGATGATGCCTGTCGTCAAGTGGACTGATTCCGTCCCACTCATGGTGTCAACTTGGGAGTGTGGCACCACGCGAGGTTCTTAGGCACTATAGCCTCAAGTTGGATCGCAACGAAAACAGCCACCCGAGCGCTTTCAAATGCAGAGACTAACCCCGCAGAAGATGGAACCCAATAGCCCGAGCTGCGCTTCGGCACTGATGCTTGAAAGGCTCCTCCAACCTGCTAAGCCCTCATAGCTGAGCGCCATCATCCTGTGTTTGTGTGAGAAGAAGAACACCAAACAACGACAAACAGAACAAAACCTGCGCTCCTCAAACGGTACTCCCCCAAAGGACTTCACACAAGAAATTGAGACAAATTCACATCCAAAGGATCAACAATGTGATGCTGCCAGACCAAAAGCCATTCCAAAAAACTAGCGGCAAAGGAGAAGGAGTGCTGGAGACCAGCTCATACTGCCACACACCTCTTGCTGCTCATAGCAAGGCACTGAGCGCGGCCAAGATGAAGGCTGACAGGGAACCATGCACTAGACCCTCGATGCTGCACATACTCCCGACGCAAACCAATCCCACGAAGAGGAACAAAGCAAAGTTGGAACGCCTCTGAAGGCGCATGCACATGTCAATGCATGCACGCTTGGGGAAGAAGAGCTCGACACAGGAGAACAGGTGTGAAAATGACAGTGATCTTTGAGGGGAAGTATGGGGCTTTCCACTGGAAGTCGACAGGAGAAGTCGTGATATTTGGGTTCCAGAAGGAACGTGTTCCGATTCCAATGTTCGTGAAAGAACTCCAAGAGAGTGAACACCTTCTAAGCAAACTGTGAGTAGCTTCCCTTTGATCTGCTCAAGGCCCAAGGTCACAATTGGCACATTAACTGCAATCATCCACATGAAAGCAATGGATCCATAGAAGCTGGCTGAGCTGTTGGTGAGCAGCGAGAGGCCATTCAACATGGAGATGGGCAAGACCTGCAAGGCATGCTCCATCCTGGGCTTCTCCAAGATCGCGGTCACCTCGAAGAAGTGCGAAGTGACCATTTCTTGCTGGAAGTCAGGGAACAATCCCAGACCATCCATGGGACAAAAAATAGCTACTTACAAGTCATGTTCATGGGATTTCATGGGGTATATTCCATACCCAGATGCTCCATGGGACTGCCATATATGCCGCCCTGACCCCCCAAACCACCACCCCTGGCCGTTTCTCGGCATCTATGGCAGTCCCATGGGTCGTGTCTGGGATACATGGATGGTCTGAATGAAACGCTCTTGAGACCGACCCGTCGAGGCCGTTGCCCGCCCCAACGCCCTTCCTTCGCCCTCCGCGTTGAGCGAAACGGTCACTCGCCCCCGAATAACGGCCCAGTTGCCAGGCAAACGGCAAGCATGCGCATGGCGGAGATGGTGTTGGGAAAGGGGTAGTTTAGCCACTTTGAACAGGAGCCTTTCCGAGTCTTCCTGGTCTAACAGGCATCCTCCAAGGCCTCAATTACTTTGGAACCGACCTTGTGCTTCTGTTCGTTCGCATCAGTTCCAAAAAGCACAGAAGCACAACTCAAAGCCTTGATGAAGGTCATGGCTGCCAAGTAGGAAATGACCACCAGAAGCGTTGGAAAGCCCTGGTAGTCAGTACGCAACGGGGCTGATGGCCATCAAGATCAAGGCCTCACAGCGACTCCGGTTCAAAGGACCAACAACCACCTGTTGGATGTGATCGAGACCGGACCGCGCCGGCATGTGATCCGGCGTAGGCCAGTAGGCCACCGGTGCTTTTTTCAGGGTCTGTACATGACCAATTCGAAACATTGACTGAAAGCCTTTAAACTTTAGAATACACCAGGGCCAGGTATTCTAAGTCAACCATTTGGGTCTTTGAAGGGTGTAAACTTGGGAAGCTCAAAACACTGTCCGGTGACTTTCTGAGACCTTCCACTACAATGTCGCTACAAGCCTGTTCGTACTTGCGAGTAAACAGTTTCTCGTTTGACGCGATCAGCCATTCCCTCACCCCATGGTATGTTTGTTTGATCCAGTTTCAGAGTAGATAGCACTATCAAGCGCCAAGGGCTGTTGATAGTGATCTCAGAGCAGCCTACCGGGTTGTGACATCTGAAACTTCCCTCAAATACTCAAGATTCAGTCACTTCCCTCCAGTCCATCCGCAAGTACTTCAACATGTGTTTCTTCAACCCATGGGATCCCATGGGACGTGCTCCATCCTGATTTGCCACAGCGGATTACAGTAGCTCCTGGCATTATTAGGAACAAGAAGCTACGAACGTAGCAAGAAGCTACGCCTGGACACTCTTCGTGTCGCAGTGAAACGATGTGAAACGGCCTTACCGGGATCCACTGGACGAATGACGAACTCAGCTAGGGACCCGACCAACCGGTCTTAGCCTATCTTGAGCTTGATATGGCACACCTCCTTGGCTCAAAACGCAGAGGTGGCCGGCTGGAAGAATCCAAATGTTCAAAACACATCCCCGTTTCCTTGAGGAAATATGGCACAGCGGGGGGTTCAATGCTCCAAAGCATCCATCGTTTAGGGTGAAAGTGATGGAAGACGGACATTGGAGCGAGGTGTCGACACCTTCGTCTTCGTCCTTGAGGCGTGTCTTCGCGCAAAGCCATTCGCGTCTGCACGGCAAGGAACATCAGTTGGGCAGCCGTGTTGCGACCATCACATGGCTTCGTCCATCCCTGTCACCCCTTGGATTCGGAGATGTTTACAGTTTCAGTGTCTAGAGTAGATGGCGCATTCCCCCAAAGGTGGTATATCAATCAAAGACATGATTGGTTGCCGGTGCAATCGAACCTCTGGAACGACTGTAGATTCTTATAATATAATGCACCTACTACATGTTTACTTAAATGTTCTCTTCTTACTAAATGTATCAAGGACACTACTATAGGTGGAGGACATCGCTAGTAGGTTGGAGGCCATCGCTACTAGTACTAGTAACAAGACTAGTAGGGTGGAGGCCATCGCTAGTAGGTTGGAGGCCATCGCTACTAGTAACAAGAAACTAGTAGGGTGGAGGCCATCGCTAGTAGGCTGGAGGCCATCAAGGTAGTAACAAAAAGCTGGTAGGGTGGAGGCCATCGCAGGTAGGTTGGAGGCCATTGCAGAAGCTACTAGTATCAAGGAAAACAATTGAGGGTAAGAAGAGTGATATGCCCGAACTGTATGGAACGCCGCGATTCGCCACGTTGTCCTCGTCGCCGCGTTGTCTGACTTGATAGGCAGACCATCCGACTGCGCACCTACCGACACCATCCGTGTGTCGGTCTCGACAGACGTCTGTCCGTCGGGTTGAGACCGCCGTTGACATGGCATCCCTCGGGTTGAACTGCAGCAAGCTGAAGGTCTTGCAAGCGGGATGTCTCGTCTCCGAGGAAGGTATGGCGCTGACAAATAGGCACAGAACACGAAACATGGGGATTCGATCGATGCCGCACATGTCATCTCAACGGCATGGCGGACACCACAGGTGAAACATTTGAGGTCCAAATGCCTTCAGCGCGGTGACGGCGACGGCAAAAATGATCCGGATTCTCTTGGAATCTTTTAGAGGGGCTATCTACAGGCCAGGCATAGCTCGTCACCAATCGCGTCCCAAAAGCCTATCCGGAACATCTTACCCTCTCGGAAGGGAAACTTTCTACCGACTAGGTAGTACTGGCCCACTACAACCACCCCAAAAAAAAACAAAAAACAGAAACGCCGCGCCCACCAAGAAGCGAATCCGCGTATCAGCTCCACGTAGTCTCACTGCACGTTCGTCGGTCCCGTCTCACTGCACCCGTCGTAGCTGCTCACGCACTCCACTGCTGTCGCCACCGGAGTCGGCATCGCCCCAGGTCACGACCTCGAGCGCGGGGGGTTGGAGAATGTGATGTGGTGGGGATGTGACACCCCAAAATTGGTGTTCCAATAATGTAATATATATATATATCATACATCTCATATATATCTGAAGAAAGCTATATAGTGTATGCTCCCTAGGGATTTAAATACCTTCTCAGAAGGTAATTGGACCCTCCAAGCCTAGATAAAAGTGTCCCCAATCACCTTCTCAGAGGGTATGTGGATCCACAGGGACTATAAGTGTAGAATATATAGGGACCCTCCATCTAGTGTAGGAGTGTCTATTAAGTGATCCTGTAAAGAAGCAGCTGGGACGTGACTTGTTCGTGGATGATGTTTGCAACAGGACCCCCAAAGCCCCCCGGCCCCTTGATCGCCGCGACCCCCAAAGCGCCAGGGCTACAAAGAGATGAAGAGCTCCTTAAAACCCGACCAGCCACCAAGTGTCTAACTTAACCCCAAATGGTTCAAAAATCCGTCTTTCAGTTTAACATGATGTTCTATTCACACCCTAATTAGGGAGAAGGGCATCTAACCTGAGCCGGATGGAGAAGGGCTAGCGGCGCTAGCGGTGTTCTCCACAATCCTTCTCAACACCTCGGTGTTCTCCGCTCCGCTCTCCAGAGTGTCCACTCCAAGTCTCCTCTCCGTCGCCCAAGATCGCAGCAAAGGCACCGAAGGAGGCCTAGTAGTGAGGCACCGAATGGATCCCCAAGCAAGTGGACAGTTTGGCCCTCTTTGGACACACATGACCCTGGGCTGGAAGAAACCAACAATTGGGCACTCCCATAGAACCAATTCCTTTGGAGTCTTAGATGGATTCTGGATCTTCATGGATTCTTGGGTGGTGGAACTCCCGGTTTCCCTGCCCAGTGTCACCGGTCAAAGATGTCTTTTGCAAGACCTGGTGAGCTGACCTCCACCCCATTCGATCTATCCGTCCCATCCCATGCCATCCAAAATCCAATCCAATCCATCTCCCACCATCTACCCCCACATGATATCAACCAAAAAGACCGACCGCCAAACCGCAGCTCTACCCGCCTGCAGCTCTGAAACGCCTCGGTGACCGAGATCTCTGGGCACCTCACCACCATAGTCTCGGTGCCCCCAAGCCACCACCTGCCGTCGGAACCCTCAGCCGTCAGAACACGCTGGCCCCACGTGGACGTCGGAACCGTCAGAACGCGGCGGTGGGTCCAATCAGTGACCTACTTCTGTATAACCCTCATAATACCTGCAACGACACATACTACAATTGAATTAATTATGATAGGGAAGAAGCAGAATTTATATTCCAATCACAATTTATGCTTATAAATGGGTATACCACTAACTTCTACCTAGCGGCGAATATTGCATCCCACAGTTCTCACCGTTTGGATTTCTCGCTGAAACCACGCCACGTGGCATCACGTGGTCTCACCTTCGTCGCCACCACCTTCGACCCGTGGCCTGGCCACTCGCACGGATCGCCGCAAAGGCTGCGTGTGTCGCATGGATCGTCTGGACCTCCCTCAGTTGCTCCTGGGACGCAAGGCCGAGTAGACGGCACTGCAGAGGTCACCGGGGCACGGCAGCAGGAACGCTTGCATGTCGCAACGATATGCAACGATGAGGTCATTGAGGTGACTGTCTCCAAAAAAGAAAAACACCCCTGGCTTATCTCCTTATAGCCTTACAGGTCCTTGTACCAGAGTTCCAAAGGGGTGCCTAATGGAGGTTAGGGTGCCTACTGTCCACAAGGGTTGTGACTCCTATCTTTTTAAGGCCATTAAGAAGGGATGAAGAGGCAGTTTCTTGTCCTATCAAACACAACCATAGTGCGTGCTGGCTATCCAAAGACTGA